AGATTAAAGTTAGACACAATTAATTAGTATTGTAAGTAGAAAATAAGTATGTTAAATTTTTTTTAATTTCATTACTTAGTATTACATGAATTATTTTAAAATTAAATAATTTTTATTTTCAATTTCATTCACACACCACAAATCAAAATGATATGATCCAAAATTAGAACAACTCAAAATAATAAAACGTAAAAATAAATAAATAAGACGACACAAATTGATGACAACGTTGAGCTAGAAGTATGTAACAACAATTTATTGAAATGCAGCTTTCAAAAACCATCATTAATAATGGCTGCAACGAACAAACTAGTAATGCATGTGGGACGGCGACAGAGAGACGGACCGAGTATGAGGGGGTTGCCCTAATTTAACAAAGGTAGGTACTACCTTACCTTAACAAGAAGCATAGGCACAACTTTAGCTGTCCTAACATCAGCCTAAAGTTGGTAATTCAAAACACTAACGCATTATATCACATCAAGTCAAATCTTTCGTACATGGTACTGCTAGTGTATATCCACGGTTTTTTTATTATTCTTTTTAGGCTTTGCCTCAGACTCTCTCGCCAACCTATAAAAAGTGCCCATATTGTCAGCCACTTATTACAACCCACCCCCAGTGCCCATACTTCAAGTCATTTCGATCTACGAAAAAACAGACTGTATCAACACACTGCTGCATTTATTCTCTCTTTCTACGTTTCATTTCTATTCGATTCAACTACAAAATACAAAATTATATTTGGTAGAGTTCAAAAAAATGAAATGTTACTTCTTCAAAAATAAAAATTTATTCTATCTTGTTAGAAAGTTATTTATAACTCTGAGCATCAAGAGAAAAAAAACTGTAATTACACATGACACAAATTATTATTTTTAAATTCTTATTATCTTTCTTGTTAATTGTTGTTCTGCAATTAAGTACATATATTTTATTTGTATACTAGTTATTATCTGTGCCTGAAGACACAGTATAATAAAAAATGGTAACCAATAAACATATTTATATTTATATTCAAAATTAAATCACAAACATAGAGAAAAGATAAAGAAATTTAAACATCGATTTGTAGTGAGAATGAGAAGTGGTGGTAGGAAACGGTGACGATTGTGGTGAGTGGCAATAATCATGGTGGCAACAGCGGCAGTGGTAATGGTGGTGGTAGTGGCGGCGACAACTGCGACAGTGGTGGTGGTAGTGGGGGTGGGGGCGATGGCGGTGGGGTAGGACAGTTTCAAATATATTTGTTTTTTAAAATATTTATGAAAAATAATTTTTAAAAGTATTTTTTAAAAGTCACTCCAAACACATCCTTAGGGGCTTATTTTTTTATTAAATTTAGAGTGTTAATATTAACCGTTAGATTTATTTTAAAATAAAATTTAAAACAACCTCAACCGCGAATAGCAAAAATTATTTTGTTTATCTTTTAAAATTTGAATTGTAAGCTACTTTATTATATAGATTATGTTTTGTTTAAACATTCTGTTTTATATTAATAGTTTGTATAGTGATTATATATTTACTATTAATTTTGATTATATATTTTAAATAACAACAAATTCATGTCAGGTTTTAATGAATTTGTGTCAAAAAATATTTCACTCGTACTTGATTCGTTTATTACTTCATATCTAATGAATTAAATTTGTGTCGAGTATAAATTTTGTATAATCGTCTTCATGATTTTTTACACTATCAATTTGATATCATCCAAAAAAAGATGAGTAAAGTAGGGTATTCTCTTATGGTTATCCTTGAGGCAATGCATTAATTAGCCTTTTACACAAAAGTAATTATTGTTTTCACAAATAGAATTGTCATAAATTATTTGAAGAATATTTGGCCGTTTGAGACTCTTATTCAAAGGCACGATGTGGCCTTCTAAAAGTGATGGCATGAGTTTTGGGAGGCGGTGTCTTCTTGCCCATGGTAAAATTTATTGATGAAAGTTTTCTTTTACCCCTATTAATAATTTTTAAATTGTTTGTCGTCTTTTGAAGTCACATAGTTGACATGGTCTGGCTTGACTATCTTGTCTTGACGTGCTCGACATATGCTGCATCCTCGACTTTTCCTTTCATCCAAACTGAATTTTCTATATCATCAAAATCTATCCTCGGAATATTTTCTAACATTGTGTTTATGATTATAACATGTGAAGAGTTACCTTTCTCTTTCGGGTCTCTTAGTTTTGTTCCACAAAAGCTATTGAATAAAATAATTGCTTCTTGTTATCTTCAACTAAGTACTAAATTTAAAATGGTTGACCCCATAAACAAAATGTTGTTATCTCCATAGTCGAGGAAGTGGGGGCACATTATGAGGAACTTCAAAGTAAGAAAATTATTATTCTTTAATTGAGGATGAGCTGGAGAATTATTCTATAATTTGGGACGGAATCGATATGAAAATTTACATTATGTTCTCCTGGTCAACAATCATTTGGATTCAAGATAATTTCATATATTCAAACTTCTTATTATAATATTTATATGTTTGGATCGAATTCAAATTCTACTAACAAAAAAATTTACGGAATTCGTCTTTCCCCTACCTTAAACTACGATGATGCATTTGTCTTGTCCTTACACCGGGGAGGAATTAACTTGCATAAATATATAAGATATATCATCTCTAACCGTTTAAATTTTTTATATAAATTGATTATTTATTATGTGAGAGAATACCTTCTCGAGTAAGTTCATACCCGCACAAAAAAATGTAACAATAAACATCAGAATCCTAAGTCAGATGGTCCTAGGATTCACGTGTGTTGCATACTATTATGTGTATCCAAAATTTATGCTATAATGACAAATTTAAAGGGTGTGGTTGGAATGATAATGAAAAAGAAAACTTGAGATACCGTATTGGTGGACCCAAGTAGAAAATTGTTGCTCTTTTGTACCATGAAAATTTAAAATATTTTATTTATACCCTTAAAAAATTAGATTTCGTATATATTACACCCTCAATGTATTATAAGTGTTTTAATATGTCTCTTTTGTTAGTTTCTATTATTCATTTAGCCAATGTTAATAAGGTGGGTATTGACAAAATAAACATCGGAAGCTAACGAAAGAGTCATATTATAACATTTTCAACATATTAATGGTGTAATGAGAAAAATTTTATATTCGAACGTACAAATTCAAAATACTTAAATTTTTATTTTTATTTTTTGTTTAATATGTGGTTTCTGATTCCTAATATATATCGAAGAGTTTCATGTAATCGAGAGAGATTCTCAAGACAGTGCGAGCTGGGTTTTGCATTGAATTTGCAGCGCTGAAGTTAAATTTCTACTCAATTAATAATGAACGAGCGACTGTTTGTATATGATGACGTTATCTGATTTACAAAAAAAGATAATACTAAATTGTTTTATTTCAATCATTAATTTTGAGTAGAATATTTATATTTATTAATTAAAAACAAAAGTAATAAAAATATAAAAATTTTACACAGGCCACATATTTACTTAATAAAAACTAAACTTACAATACGGAAAAGTGATGTTTCCATGGCGTAACCAGACACTAGACATTTTTCAAGTTTTAGTAGGATTATGCAGGCATGGTTCTCTAATTATATTACAATAGCACCCAATTCTTTTGAGTTTTGTGTGTGTTAAGATAGGAAATGACTACTAACTTACTGAAAATTATTACTGTTGTGGGTTAAAAAGTATAACTTGATATTTAAAAATTATATTTTCTATAATCAACTATAATATTTTATAATTTATTTATTTTTTGAGTAATTTTTTCTACCCTTTTGTGTAGTAAGTTAAACCTTCAAAAGGTTATATCAAAATTAAGAAAAAAAAAACACTTAGAATTCAATTACTACAACAGTTGAGTTATTTGTGATATTGTAAACCTATAGACTAATTGACCTGACTAAAATAAATTGTGATTACCTTGTATTTAGTTATAACTTTAGGGCGTAATTGTACTTGTACCCTTGTTTGATCTTTCCAGAACTTTTTTGGTGTATGTGTTATTAAATATTGAACATATTTAATTTTTTTTAGACCCGACAATAAATTAAGTCTCGTCCACTTTACTTGCTTTTTTTTTTTTTTAATATTTTTTTTCCTTCTACAACATAAGTGATCATCCCCTGACCAAAACTCGCGACGCACAGACATGCATTAATAAGACATGAGAAAATGCTTAAAAAAAAACAGAACAGGGTCAAAAAGAGAAGCCACAGAGAAGAGGTTGGACCCCACACAGCTCGAGGGGGACTACTCTGCCATGGACTTTGACCCATAACACTATAAACCTACACGAACCCCGATGTCTCCGAGTGATCAAATTACTATTTTACTCCTTCCAACATCTCTGAAATTACTGTTCTACCTTCTAGCAATTGGGTTTTGGTATTTTTTTTTTTTTTAAAAACTATTTTTCAGTTTGTCCTAATTTCCTTTAAAACATATTTCTCAAACTACTATTATTTTTATGTAAATGTTATTTAAACTACACTTTCAATATAAACAGCACATTTCTAAGATTTTTTTCATTAAAATTTGAATTTCAACAACAATTCAGACCACATCTTTACAGACACAATGGTAATTTTAAAAATACATTTTAAAGGACGATATTCGAAATGACAAAAAAAATGACAGGAAATTTGATTGGGTTTCGTCTTGTGGCAGACACATTTTACAATATTGGGTAATGAGGGGACCAGTTTTGGGTCAATGGGTCTACGTTCCCAAACTAACTTTGGCAAGTATTCTTTAGTTAACAGTTTTCTTCAAAAGCTTTTTCTATAATTTTTTTCAAGGAATAATTAAAATTAGACACAGTAAAAGGGGGAACGGTGAATAAACAAAGTGAGCAAAAAACCAAAAACCACCAGCGCATCTCTCTCTTGCTTTCTCTCCTTTTCATGTTCTTAAACCCTTCTGCCCCTCTTTCACTGCAACAAAAAGAAAAGCTACCCACATATCACCCTCTTCCCTTCTCCCCACTGAGACCACAGAGACCCCATTAATATAAATCAGAAATAGACAATTACAAAAAATATATTCCACCGGGAATTCATAAATACCATAACCTATCCAAACTTTTCCGTAAGCTGTACACTTCTTTATTCCCAGTCCCCTCCCACATGGAACCTACTCTTCTCTCTGTTCCCTATACCTCTATTTCAAATTTCAAATCTTCACAGTCCTTGGTTTAAGAAAAAAATAAATGGGGATAAAAAAAAGAAAGAAAGGCATCTCAATCCAATTTCTCCTCCCCTTGGATGTACAATCAAGTTATCCCTTCCAACATTATGAATGATCCACAAAATTCAGCCATGAGCACCCCCCACAATCCGAGTCAATCTGACCCACTACAGCATCTTCACAACTGCCCGATCTCAGCCAGTGTGATCCATCCCTTCATCACCACCACCGAGAGCCCCATAATTCCTCATACCCCTCTGACTGCGTGGGATTTCTAGAATCAATCCGTGTACCCTGACAATTCAACAAACTTGAATTCCACTTTGCATTTCGCCTCCCCAGTGTCACCTGTCTTCTACAAATATTCTCCCAATGAAATCTCGAAATCTCTTGGAATATAGCTTTGGATCGACAGCTGATATTGAGGCAGGGTCAGCTTGTAAGGATTTGTATGCATGCTCTAGCTTCTTGCTGATGTCATAGTCTTGTAAAATGTCAATGATCCCAAAGTAGAGGACAACTTCGTAAACTTCCCCACTAGGTGAAGGGGTCAAATTGCTGAACCCACCCGGTGTGTACTGATCAAAGTCGCTCCTTCGAGCCACTCGCTCTGCTCTTGCAGGCATATTGGCTCCCAACCGGATCAATGGTTTCCTGATACAATACATGTTTGCATGTAATTTAGTACACATGACTCATCCAAAGAATAACTGTCAAAAATATCAAGTATGCTGTTACTCAAATAAACCACACTAATACAAATCAATATGCTACTATTGTTCCATCTGGAAGTCAATTGATTTTTGACACCAACATCGATCTGTTCTCATGTAACCGAAAAAAAAAAATCAGCAAGTTTCTTCCCAAAGGATTAATGTCAAATTTAACCTTCCAAAATGCGATCATTAGGTTTCTAACATAGCAAATTAAAGAGCCTAAAACGACAATGCTCAAAAGAAACCTGTGCTTCTCCAGGAAAGTAATTACAAGACCACACTCTGGATATGCCCCACAAACAACTGTTGTCTACAGAACTACCTCAACAATATTTGCAACAACCACCATGAACAAATTCAATGGCAGAAAAATTATCAGCGACTTAAAGGGTATTCCAACTAGAAAGGCAAGGTCAACAACAATGTGTTTTTGCAATTATTAGTCTAAGGAAATTTTTAACATTAGCAATGAGGAATCACAAAGACAACATACCTGCCAGATAAAATCCGATCCCTGTCTTGTAGCTCTGCTTGAAGGAATCGATAGCCACGCATGAACTTTTCATTTTGATATGAATCCTTCTTTCCTGAAAAGGATACATTGATTCATTTCAACATTCTTCCTCCCCCACATAATCATCTAAATGAGCAAATTACAATGATACGATATATTACCCGTGCGCAACAGAAATGGTGACAGACCCATTTTATCGCCTGTATTGTCATCACGGAAGTGAAGACCAACTAAAAGACTGTAATCCATGATTCTCTCCGCTTCCAAGAATTCACAGTCTCGGTCAATTTGTCTGCAGACAAAGTCCAGCATATTACATCAGACACAAGTGGTGTGATTTAGCATACCCGCAGCTATCCAAAAATACAATCAACTTACTTGATCAGGTCTTGGAACCAGTTTCCCTGGAGGCGGAACACATAGTTGAGGTCAAGGTCCTTGAGGGTGGTGGTTTCATCAATCTCCCCCTCAGGCTTATCTGTTGTTCGGCCATGGGAGGATCCTTTTAGGTCAAATCGTCTATGTATTCGATATTCCGAGCAGCAAAGATTCCCCATCACAATAAACCGCGTCTAATTTTCAATCAGAAAATGAAATTAAAGACATTAACACGAATATCTTTGGCAAATAACTCACTAGAACCAAGATAATTTGAATTTCAGCATCTACCACATACCTTGAGGCCACCCACTGGTTTGACACAATGGACACCAAAGAACTTCGCGACAAGGGAATTTTCATAGTGGCAAACATGCTGGTAATAACTTGGGAGCATCTTGATAAGCACCTGAAAAAAGATTACCAAACTTCAATACCTAATCTGTATGTAGTTGCCATATTTCGGTTATCCGGTTTAAGGTCAGGGGAGATAATTAAATAAACAGTTAATCCACTGCCGCTTGTCCTATCATCATCCCCCCGATATTAACTCGGTTTTGAAATTTAACAATGAAAAGTCAAGGAGGTAGGCAACTAACCTTGACTTCTGATTTCTTCACTGTTTTTATAATAAATCTATCGTCCTGTGTCAAGTAAAAGAAGCTTCCACTCTTCCCAGGGGACGAAAGCTCCCTAAGAGCATCATTCCCACAAATGGCAAGCATATAATCCGCAGGATCTACTTGGAATAGCTCCCTCAAACGTCTGAGCAAACCCAAAAAGACGATCATCATTTAGCAAATAGTAGTAGAGTAATTACAATAGAACTCAACATTGGAGTTTAAATGCAAACAACAAATCGGAGGAACATACATATTCTCATTTATAAATGAATGAATCAGATATAACATTGCAAGTGAATAGTACAATCAAGCAATTTAAAACAAGCTATACCTAAACACCACGGGGCAATAATCTTTCCATCGGAACTCCCCGGTTTGATGGGGTGGCGTAATCTTTGATCCTTCAGGAGGAAACCTTGTCCAAAACTTCTCCTTTGGATCAAAATCACTCGGCCTAAGGTCACGTATTATGGAGCCATGCTTGCCAACTGAATGCCTGCACAAATTATCATCAATACACAGTTAAACAAACACTCAAAGCCCCAAAGTAATCAATCAAAGCAACCTAACCGTCCTAGAATTGCCCATTTTAACGAACTTACCTAATACCCAATTGGAGATTAAGCATCAAATCATAGTTTTTATGCCCTCTAGATATAGTCTGCCCTGGCTTCTTCTCTTCCCCAGTAAAACAACAAGGATTCCTCCGAAACTGCCTAATATTATCTCGATCCAATCGTAAACCATCGTGATAAAACATAGAAGCCTCCACATTATCAATTATATCACAAGTAATATCCCCAGCCTCACCATCAGATTCCCATATACAAATCCTTGGAAAAGCCCTCTCCGCCACACTCCCCCTAGACCCATCCACCGAGGACCTCTTCTTCGCCACCACCAACCCACAGTTCTCATCCATTAATGGAGCCACAAGCTTATTGCTAAACCCAAATTTCTCTCCCTTCCCAACAACACTAGTGTTCCCGGGATAAAAAGTCCCATTCAACATTTGCTGATTTCTGGATCCAGAATTGGACTCTTTGCTCCAAGAACCAACGTAGCAACTCTCATCTGGCCAAGTGAAAACCCCATGTCCTTTTGGAACCCCATTTTCCCAATTCCCATCATATTTATTCCCATTAGCCCAAATCAAAACTCCTCTTCCATTAATCACTCCATTTTTCCACTCACCACTGTACTCATTTCCATTCCTCCACACATACCTCCCTTGCCCATCTTGCAAATTTCTCTTCCATGTCCCCTCATAGTAATCTCCATTACTGTAATGCTTCACACCGTACCCATGTTTTCGATCTCCAGACCATGACCCTCGATATGTATCCCCATCAGGGCCGATAAAAGTCCCAGAACCCTCCATTCTTCCAGATTTGAAATCACCCTCAAAAGTAGCACCCGAAGGCCAAGAAAACTTGCCTTTGCCCGATGCTTTCCCTCTTTTCCACTCACCCTCATACATACACCCGTCGACCCACAAATACTTCCCGGATCCGTGTGGAACGTTGCCGGAGAATGAACCCTTATACAGATCTCCGTTGCGGAGGTGTTTCTCCACGTTAGTGCCGGTGGTGGTAGATCCAAAAAAGTTGGTTGAGCTGGTGCTTGTGGGTGTAACACGGCGAGAAGCGGATTGGGATCGGCTACGGGGTGGTAAGAAAACGGGCTTGGCTTTGGTCTCAAAATCTATTTCAACAACTTCTGGGTCTGATGGTTTCTTCTTCTTTGCGCCTATGGTGGTAGCGTTGGTGGTGGTGGTGGTAGCGTGGTGGTGGTGGTAGCGGTGGTGGTGGATGCCTTGATTTCTTCATCAACAGTAGAAGCCGTTGGTGTTGATACTAAGACTGGTTCTGGCATTTTTTGAGGTGGGTATCTTTTCTATCTCGCTTTTATCGCCGGAAATGAGCTGGGATGGCCAGCTTCAACTGCATTTCCGGCTGTCTCTCTCTCCAAATCTATGTATATTCTCTCTCTAAATCTCCCACATATATGAATGTTGATTGTCTTCTTTCTATAAAAATCACACTGTTTCCAAATGAGTTTTCTAGTGGGTTGTCCAGACAGAGTAGGTGGGTATCCTACAAGAAACTGAAAAAGTAATAGGGCGAGGGAGAGGGAGGTGTTTTGTTCTTTTGGGGGAACAGTGTGTGTGTGAGAGAGAGAGAGTTATGAACTTATGACTATGAGCCGGCATAGCATCGTCTAGGGAACGACGACGTTGCTATACAATACGAACACTATACCACCACCAGCTCACCTTTTAATTTTTTCATGACTAATATGCCCCCGAAAATCCTATGTATTTACGTCTAATCCGTTTCCAACAAGAGTAAAATTCCTCTGGTTTCCATCCGTGACGTGTGACGAAATCAGCCGGGAAGTGGAAGGTTCATTTTAGAGCCACAAAGTATATTACCTCCATATTTTACTCTAATTACCAAACGGACCATTGTTGCTAATTCCTGTTTAAGTGGACCCGGGTCCGGCCTAGGTGAACCATCCAAGGTTTGACGATTCTATTCTTTTTTTTGTTTTTGGTGGGTGACCATTCTAATTTCTATGCTTCGGTCAGTAATGTTTTGGGATGCTTCCAGATTAATCACCTCACATTAATTGACAACTTCTAGAATCCGGGTCTTTTTAGCTACACAAATTTGAAGGAATACTATATTTATTATAATGATCTAAAAAATATTAGTCTATCAAAAAATATGTATTTACAGGCTCGACCCCCTTCACTATATCTAATGAAATTTATTTATATATAATGCGTCACATTTCAACCTAGGTCGGATACTAGAACAACAAGGGTATTAATTAAGACATTGGATCAAGTTTTATGCAAAAACATATGCTTGTCTTTTAGAGGAGCATTGGAAATGGTGGTGGCGGTGGTGCATGATGAATCATAAAGGCAAAGACTAATGTTACCTTGGTTGGCCCACTCATATAGTGGGGTTGCCCTATTGGAACTACTTGTCATTTTTAGTAGTGGCCATTTTTTAGGATAGATAATTCTTAACATGATGTCTCATTTGAAAAGCGGATTTTAAAAATATTAGGATAAAAGTTTGTAATATTGAGTTTTATTGTGTTTTATTTTAAATTGACATTTTATTGGACGTAATTAAGTTTAGTTTATCAAGAAATTATAATTATTTAATAAATAGATCGATATAAATAAATCTAATTATATATAATACAAACTATTGTTCTCATTCCCTGTATGATTAGATTAGAATTGGTCTAAGTATACTCAAGTATGAATAAGGTAAATACCATTTCATATATTATTTATGAATTGAGGATGACATTAACCATTTTCAATCCTCTGTTTTGACTTTTATCAACATGGCTTGTACGAGGTGTGATTCATTCATAGTGTTGTCCTCCTCCTGGCTGGTAAACATTGTAAAAGGTAGGCTTACCTAACAGAATATCCATATTATTGGAAGCCAATTCGTTCAATTTGGACGTGAGACTTATTATATATTCACCTTTTTAGTTGTTTGTCTACATTAATTTTAATTGTATAACAGTGGTAAATTTGGGATCCAATGAGAGAGGTGACATACCAAAGACTTGTGGCCAACCCCATTATCTTTTTCTTTTTTATTTTTATTTTTTTTGTGCTAACGATTAAGATGTCCGAACTAACATATGTTCACTTTAATTAATTCTCTCCCTAGAGATGGCGGTAGACCGGAACAGAAGGGGGGGGGAGTAATCTCTACTCTCTTACCCACTTCAAAAATATTCTTTCACCCCCATTATTGGTAGAAATTTTAATTTCCGTCTTGGCCTTGCTAGTAAATTTTGATCTTCATCCCTACTACCATAAAAAAGAAAAAAAAATCATAAAACTTCACAAATAGATTCGCAAGAAAGATAAAAACTCATTATATAACAAATGGATTAAAGAAAAAAAATTATATATATATATATATATATATATATATATATATATATATATATATATATATATATATATATATATATATATATATATATATATATATTTCAGGTTTAGCTGGGCGGAGAGCGCTGGGGCAAAGACGGGATGGTGATGAGTTTTAGTTCTCCATTTTCGCAGGATTTATACGAGTATTTTCATATATATTCACTGTTCAATACGTATGGTCTATTCTCGATCGAAATAGAAAGAGTTTAGACAAATACTCATTTTGTTCAGTCCACTGCCATCTCTAACGTCTCCCTGATTCGATCAAAAGATAAATCATTCACACCAAAATTATTATATTGAATAAACCAAATTATCAACATTTTGCATAGAATTCTCTATACCAAGGATTGGGTGGACCATAAATTATAAATGTGGATCACCTTACCCTCATGACCATTTTAATTAATAGTGTCAGCTCTTTATATTGATGGCCACAACGTGAAGAACATTGAAGCTAAATACATATATACTTCCAACTACCCATTCATCGAGATGAACCAGCTCATCATTTTTGTTTACTTTGGTTTTGGCTTTTGTGGAAACTCCGAAAGAATAAAAAGATTAGGCATAGCCATAGATCAAATTCAGATTGGATTTTTCAATATATTTGAGTCCGAAATTAGTCGAATATAACATAAAATTTATTTTCAATGTTTATGTTCAAATCAGTTTTTAAAAAAAAAAATCCAATTCATAAAATTATCTAATTTGAATAACTCGGTTTATTGTTACATATAGCAAATTAGACATATTTTCACTCAATTTTCACAAAAATAATCAAAATTTAATTCTTGCAATCTTAAATAACGGGTTCATATTTAATTTTTCATCCTAAAATAAAATTAATATATATAGTATTCAAATCGAAATGGTTACATGTATACCCTATACTACTTATAAAAGTGGTTAAGGATAAAAAACTTTTATTTTTCAATTATATCCTTAATAAACTCTATAATACCAATTTTATCATTCTTAAAAATGCATTGAATATAAACATTCATTATACAGCTGGAACTCATTTTTTTTTCATTTGTTAGAAAGCACAAAAAACTCTACAGCTGCAATATTTTCAATGTTCGGTCAATTATGAACTCTTCCAGATTCTCCTTCTTTCCACCAGTTCTCTTCTATCCATATTTGATATATTCCCCTTTTTATCATGGCAGTACCAAATGGCGATGAACACCAAGCACAAGAGATTTTGAAGGCAAATAGCACAAACTCTCTACTGCTTAGGAATTATAGAAAATTCTTCTATGAGGTTCACCCTCTATTAAATATCCTCTTTGGCAAGTTGCTTTCTTTGAGTTCTCATTGTTCTATTTCTATTTGCTTTCTTGTCTTTATAGTTTTTTTTCCTTCTCTTACGTGCTTCCAATATTCTCTATTTTACAATTCAATATAATCTTAATGAGCAAATTTTATTGAGTTGTGGTTCCATTATTCGAATTTTGCCTTTAAATAGGGGATTATTTGATCGATCATGAAATTTTTTCAAGGAACTTAGTATGAAAAATACTAATTTTTGGACCCCAAATAAGCATAAATACTTGGATGAGTGGGTTATATCGAAAATAGAAGTGTTCATCAACTAATCTATTCAAAATGGCCCTTATGACCTAAGAAAATCTAAATTGGTTGGACTTTTTATGCCCTAATGGAAGTTTATGTGTTCGGCAACGATATTCTTTTGCAAATATTAAAAGAAATATGATCCGGACATCGTAAATGACTAACGAAGCAGATAAATGTAGCCACGTTATGACCTTGGAGGTTTTGACTATAGATTTTGATAATTTAAGTTTTGAAAATTTTTAATTAATAAATAAAGACAAAGACTACAGCTTCAAACTCAATTTTCAAGCTTCACATTCATGTGCCTTTTGATGTTTGTTGCTCGAAATTTTATTTTATTTTGTCGTGAAACCGATGCAAATAGTAGAATTTTTGTTATTACCCTTTTGTATATTGAATATTATAATATTCAGACTATAGTAAAGGCCTAGATTTATGTCGGGCTTCGATATATTCTACAGAGATTTGGAGATCAAAGCATAAAATAGTAGACATAGATATTACCGGACCTTTGATTGCTCATTCAAATAATTTATTACCCCAAAACTATGTCAACTAGTTACATTTTAAAATCAAGGTAGACTACAAACATAAAATCATAATCTATTGTACAAGTTTTTTGTCGCAGTAAAATTTGTAGAGAGACAAATTTACATAATTGTTTTTTTTTTTTTTAGTTCAATAGTCGGGGGGTGTTTTGACTAACTTCCGCGCGCATGAAATAATCTGCTCTCTGATCCGATCAAAGACAAATCATCCACGTTCGAACTAAAATATTTATGAATGATCAATCTCTTATGGCCTGACCAAAAATAATTGACTATATACATAATTGTCTTTTTTTTTGTAAGTAACAATGTACATAATTGTTACCCACATTATAGTACAACAATTTTATCATTATACCCCTGAGATTCAATGATGTGGGATTAAATTTGAGATAAATTTAAAATTCAAACGTCTTGGATTCAACTTTCTTTGATTTTTGTTGTGAAAAACACTTTATATTATATCAAGATCGGTCTTAATACGGGTGAAGTTCAAAGATGTTCAAGTATAACAATTATCATTAAGATTAACAAGTGATGTAATACTATTTTAATAGATTATCAACTACCATGTAAAATGAAGTAACAAATAAATAAAAAAAAATTGGTGATTTTTAATTCAAACAGTCCATTTTCCAGTTGCGCAAGAAATCTGATTTGGCATTGTAGTCGGGCCGACGGATCGCCCCGTTTTTAGTTGTCTGACAATAGATTGTAATAAAAAAAGATTATTTAAAAATTTATATAATAAAACACTTATATCGTTTAAAATTGATAACTTATTTCACCAATTCAATAAAAGGGCTCAAATATATTTGCAGTTATCTTCTTGTTATTTAAGAAAAGCATTTGGACACGGTAGTTTGGAATTAAATCTAACTTTTGACATAATTTCATGCAAATAAACATAGAATTTCATATACATGCCTTCAAATTTCATCGAACATTTCGTCCCTATAATAACTAACGATTCATCAAGCTCACATTAATATAACATAAGGCATTTCACATACAAGTAGGCATGTTAAATTACATTCATGTACACCAAGGTTGTTTTAAAATCTTATTTAAAAAATGAAAAAAGGTT